TGTCATCCATTTGCATAAGCTTGTGAGTGTCGAGTTTTCCAATCCCACTTTTCTCATTATGTGTTCAAGAAACTTCAGCTATCGTTTTCTGATTCTAAGCATGGGTCCTTTTTGTTCCTATTTTCCTTAAAACTTTCAAATTGCTCGCATTACATCCACAAAACTTTCAGCATCCTTCTACAGAACCACATCTGTTTTTTTGTTTTGATTTTTAATAATTTCACTCCAAGCAAGGTAATAAAGCCACTAAGATGCAATGTTGGATATCAGTTGAGGAATGACTTTTGATCTTACTTCCACAGCATGAGTGTGGGAGAGGAAATCAGAACTGGTGATAGCATAAACAGGAAATGCATCCAGTGGCTAAAATAAACAAGACACAGAGGTGTCCTAAGTAGAAGGAAATGTGTGCTTGTGTGGGTGCATGCGAGACTAGGAGTGGCCATGTGAAGTTGTGTGGGCGCATGCCAGAAGATGTGTGACTGCATGAAGTTACATAGACAACAAATGGAAGAAGGCATAGACACATGAAGTTGCGTAGGGGTCCAAATACTATATAACCAGTCCGATTCTTGATCTGGCCAGAGAGGCTGGCTAGAAGTTCACCAAAGATTTGTCGCTATCAGTTCCTGTGTGCCCATCTTATCCTCTGTGATTCTCCCTCACTCTACCCATTTGTTGCAACTTGAACAATAAAGATATTTATATACTTTTATATATATATATATATATATATATATGTGTGTGTGTGTGTGTGTGTGTGCGTGTGTGTGTGTGTGTGTGTGTGTGTGTGTGTGTTGCTCACCTTATTTGAGCCCTGCAGCAATATACTACAGCAAGAGGTTAAACTACTATTAAAGAGAGAGGACAATAAAAGAATAAGACAGAAGATAATGATTGACATTGCATTTAAATCTTTGAAGATCAAAGTTAACTGGTAAACAAGAATCCAGAAGAGAGTTCCACAAGTAAGAATTGCAAGAGAAGAAACTTAGCACAGAACTTACAGTTCCATCTAGCGGCCATTTCAACTGTAAAATGATAAGACCTTGCCACCAATCTAGTGCTGCACTTAAATTCATAAAGTCTAGGTACCATAGAGGAAAGTTCATCAGAATAATTACCATGAAAGTATTCATAGAAAAGACAAAGGGAAGCAACATTATGGCAGTGGGAAAGGGACCAAAGCCAAGATGCCAGGTCAAGACCAATAACATTGCAGATTCTTTGGATTTTTATCAAGAATTTCTAAATATATAGCAAGAGCACCAGACCAGATGTGACAGAAATATTCAAATGCTAGACTTATAAATATGTAAGAAAAATTGTTTAGCATGTCATAGTGAATCACCTTTCTTAGCTGCAGACTTAGCAATTGATTCAATATCCTCTTTCCATTTAATGTCAGCTGAAAACATTAATTCAAGAAGGTACAATGAGTTAAACTCCTAGAGGTTAGTATCAGACATGCTGATGGAAGGCAAAAAGGTTCTCTCAAATGATTAAAAGAGAGCAGTTTTGTTTTGAGATGCTAAAATTAACAAACCACTCCTTACCCCATTTAACAATAGATTGTAGGTCATTTTTGAGGTGAGCTGCCAATTTGACTTTATTGAGCTGATCAGACTTACTAGTAAGACAGGAATAAATGGTTCTTGACTCATTTTCATCTGTAAGAAAATTGTCTCGCATTCACTGTCATATAAGAAGATTGGTATTACCTAGCAGTTCTGCATATTTGTTTCTAATAAAATTTTCCTGTTTCTTTGTTTAGTTTTTGGAAGGCATCTTTCACTATTTCAAAGTGCCTTCAGATTTGTGTATCATATTTTCAGTCATCTGTTACATCACTTACTTAAATTTCTGTACTTACTTCATTCTGACATCTCCAATTAGTAGCTTGCAACTTGAGCTGTTCCTCTTGCTGATGATCACACATTCTGTTTTGTTACTGTTGATGGCTAGTCCTTTCTTCTCACTTTTTTTTATTGTCTTGTCTCAGAGTTCCTGCAGTTTTCTTTCTGTATCTGCTACGAACATGATGTCATCTGCATATCTCATGTGTTTAAGATTGTGCCCACCAATATTAAATTCTGGTAGGAAGTTTTCTTAGGATCACCTCACTGCAAATCTATGATACAGGATCCCTCACCAACTACATTTTCATAAGGTACTCTTCATATAAAATACAGATTTTATTGTAACCTAATTATGTACAATAATAGATCATATGCAATATAGGTAAACAATTCAACAAGAAAAATTGAAGATAAATACAAGGTATCTAAATACAAATTAGAGACATGTCATAATAATAATTCCTTCCTAAATAAATCAACAATGTTTTGTAGCAATTTTTAACATCAACTTCAGTTTTTTCTTGTTAAAAAGTTGAATAATTTTAACACATTTAATATTATGGATAAAAAATAGTGAATTTTATATAGTTTTTTCATGATTTCACATCAGCAAAACAAATTCATGGATTGGGCCAAAAAAAGCCCCCAGAATGACACCAAAATCTGCAAAACTTTTTCATTTTTAGCACTAATAATCAGTTGTGCTTCATCCAATTTGTAATATATATAAATATAGGTAGAAAAAATGTTGATAAGGTCACAAAGCTCTGCCCAGGGCCCATAATCTAGATTGTCACTTTTGATGGTGGGGGGGGGAGCTGGTTAGTACACTCCAGCCCTGGCCCTATACTCCAAAGAAAAGTTTACAGTGTTAAAACAGAATATTCTTTTTTCCTTCACATTTGTTATTTTGTATCAACACTTTCAGCACCAACATTCTTGTTTTTTTTTTCTTCCACTCACATGTAGATCAAAAATAAAATTATGGGAATAGGAATTACCCAGAAACTAAATAGCATTCTTGGAAATCAGGTATGAATCACAACAGTTTATAGAGGACAAGATGGAGATGACAAAGTACAAATTTTAACAAAGGGAACATTGAATATGATGAGACAAAGTGGAAAATCTTTTTATCAAAAACGTGTTTCACAGGAGAAAGTTTTAGGTGTGGTCTCCTCATCCTCACATTTGTTTCAGATACTATTATACATCCTACAAACACATAATATTATACATCCTACAAACACAAAGGTGACATTATATAATTGTAATTTGGCATTTAACTAGCAAAGCAACAAAAAATTAATTAACATCCTTTGGTGATGAAGATGCTAATGCTATAAACATACATATGAAAGAAAAAATGAAACAACAGTACCACCGCTGGGGCGAAAGTAAAAGAAAACAAGAATTGTAAATATAAAATTCTTTTGTATTTCCAATACAGTGGGTGCAAACAGAATGTAGATGAATGAGGAGGCTTTGAAGAAAGGGTAGAGTTGATAAGACCTGATGTATTTGTCTGGTCAGTTGACCAAGATCATAATAATAACAAGAGAGACCTAGAGTGGATTAATGAAGCTTGCCATTTGCTACAAATCTGACTTTGCTGATACAGAGGATGCAAGTGGAATGTCTAAGTGGGTATGGTGTAGGTGTTTGGAGGAGGGTGGGTCTTGTGTTGATAAGTGTGTCATTGTGGTGACATCAAGATCATGCTGAGCCGTTTTGTTCCAGTCATTTATGAGTGGCTTTCTTAAAAGCAAATGGCTCCTGAGCTCACCTTTTTTCTTTGGTGGCAATGTTCGTGATTGGCTTCTTTTATGTTGTGTTTTAGATTTTTGAGGAAATTTGTTTTGTAGGCCAGATGTGATGCTCAGAGCCCTTGCAAGATGACAATGTTTTTTGTTTTTGTTTTTGCTTTCTTAGCATTCACATCCAGCCAACATGTAGAGTGAATCAGAAAGAGATCTAATTTGAAGCAGAGTATAATATTAAGAACCTTAAAAATTTATTTTCTAGTATAGAAGCTAAAATATTTATGCTTTCATTATTTTTTCTCTATCTGTAGTAACCATATGTAAAACATCTAGAGAGCATGTCACCTAAAGAAGGTTAAGTGCTACATGAAAAGAATTTCACTAAGCAAAGATAAGAAGGTTAATTATTATCTGAACCTCCGATGGTGTCTAGATTTATATCTTTAGAAATTGGCTTTGAATTATGAGCTAAATAACACAAGAAAGGTTAAGATCCAAAATACGGGGTGTTCCAGAAGTCTTGGGCACATTTCAAGTCCTCATGTCTGCTGAACTGTGAATGGTAGTAAGATGAAACTGGTACCATTTTAAACCTAAATTCATTAAGTTTTTTTGTAATGCTAATGATCTTTACATATTTTTTCAGATCCAGTAATGGTGTTAACTCAACCAGAAAAGGTGTTTTACGTCCTTGAATTTGCAAAAAATGAATCATGGACACTTGTTCAATATGCATTTTGCACAAAATCAAAAAAAGAGGCAAACAAAAAGGAAGTCCATATTGAAATGGCATGGTAAAAATGAAGGATGGGTGTTTATATAGAAAAAAGAACAGAATGACCTTCAAATTCAGATGATATGGTTATGAGTTTGAACTGATATCTAGTTTTTTTAAACAATCAGAATTTGTTTACATGTTTTCAGCTTCCTAACAACTGATTGGCATGTGTCTAAAAGGACAACTCAAACATGACACTTGATATACCTGGAGTTAACCCAACAGTTTATAAACCAGATCATTGTGATTTTGAATTGCAAAAATGCAAGAGTTGGAAGATGAAGGATTTGATGTGTGCCATGTGACCAACGGTGCTCACATTGAACATATTTGAACATTTCATGTAAAACTTGAGATTAAATTCTTTCAGAATATGTCAGGTGCATTTTTATATCCTTTTCAAGATATGTCAAAATGTGCCCAAGACTTTTGGAACATCCTGTATTATAAGTCGTAATTCCAAGGGTCATAAATCAGTCACACAAGTCCAACATAAGAAAATGACATGAGCCTAAATCAAAAGGGTAAAAAAAAATCTACATCACAACATACAACTGCCTACTTTATCCACAAAGAGACAAAGGCTTATGGCCACTTTATACTGAAACACTTGTCCCTGCATGAACTCTGAAGTTAAGCAATGTTGAGCCTGGTTAGTACCTAGATGGATGACCACTTAGGAATATCAGGTGTTGTAAGCTTGGATGTGCAGCTGGTGTAAAAGATAATAGCTCGGAAATGTTAATCAGCGAGTCAAGTTCCAATTCCACTTGGAGTTGTGGAGTCATTTCGCAGTGGAGGCTTGTATTTGTACTAAATCAGTCCTAAATAGGTTTGACGTACAAAACGTTAGAAACTTGATATAATAGGTATTACACAGAGTAATCTTGTTGTGGTCACTGACTACTTTCGTATTCGACTAACTGTTGACTACTGTCGTCCAACATCAACCACCTTTTTTCTCTTACTACTGCTACTTATATTAGGTGGGAGAGTCTATTAACTATAGAATAGGTGTGTTTCACCATAAAACCCCCCTCCTAAAATTTTACTCTTGTATATTAAAACAGTTTTCTTTATTTATTTTTTACAGAAAATATGAAGAAAAAAAAAAAAATTCATTTTTTTAGCAATATCATAGAGTATCTCCTATGTTTTGGATCCATTTTAAATGATCAATTGCCTTTCTTTTTCCTGGATCAGTAGGCGTACCTCAGGTAAAAAAATTGTTGCAGGCATTGTTAGATCAAGCAATTCGAAAATCACCTTCATCGGCATTTCTTCAAAGGAGGACCGCTGTCAACCACGTTTGAAGAGTGTCGTCTGATCTGGTTAATGTACTGTCTGCAAATGAATTTTTCTGATTTCATAAGTACATCATGTTGCCAATCCGCTTTTCTATTTTTCCAATCTCCCAGAATGATTTATTCTGTTTATAGACTTAAAGTATACTTTTCACCAGGATTGTATTTTTTTACTTGAAAAAATTTTTCTCTACCTGGCTTTGATTTTTGGTCGTAATTTGTCAAAGACAGATCTTAGTAATTGCAAACACCACCTAAGCTGGCGATTGTGAGGCTGGTGTTCAAGTTTTTTATTAGGGGTAATTTCTAGAAAGAAAAAGAAACTTCTGTAGGGCTTCATCTGCAGGTATTTCCCTAAGCTTAAACTTAACATTAGGCTCTTCATCCTAGTGCTGCCTGGATGACCTTATGAAAATCCTTTAGTATTTCAATTTTTTGCAGTGTGTATGGAATCACCAAAATTTAAATGCAATGTCAATACTATCTACTGTCCTCCTAAAAAACATTTGTTGTGTACTGGTCCCTCTCAGCTATTTTTTATTTTATTTTTAAGATATACCACACTGTTGGTGGCTTATTTCTTTTATTTTTTTTAAAGTTACTAAAAGTTCCTAAACTGCATTCATGTACAAAATTTCAGCTCCTTCTTCTGACTTCAGTGAGGCAATTAATCTGTGTTCTAATTGTTTGCTCATTTTAGGAATTAACTGTCTGGACAGCCCATCAGCATAGCCAAATTTATACTGTAACTCCATGCTGAAGTTATAATTTAGCATTATTGTAACCCCATCTCTGTAGTCGGTTGGCTGCATGCATTTGGGCAAACCTTTAAAAAAAAAAAAAATCGAAATTAGAGGCTTTATGTTCGGTTTGTAGCTTAAAATGTTGACTGTTGAGAAAACGGTGAAATTTCTCCACTGCAAATATTATTCTAGCACCTCTTTCTCTATCTGAGAGTAATTCTTCTCACCGGAAGTAGTGCTCTAGAAGGATAAAACAATTTTTTTTTATTTGACCATCTGTCATTCTGAAAAGATACATGCTCCTACTTTTTAGCAACATCATCGCAAGCTACTATGATCTCTAAATCCAGGTTGTAATGAGTTAAAAATAATTCCTTTCTTTTTAACCTTCATTTATCTTTTTAAATTCTTTCTGGCAATCATTAGTTCATTTCAGGGTTTTCATTTCTTCAGTAGTTCATTTAATGGTGGGACTGATGTCATACATTTTAAGGGTATATATTTGGTAATAATTAGCTAATCCACAAAAACTTTGTAATGTGGTAATATCATTTGGGCACATCATGTCTTCTATAGTCGCTTTTTCTGGGTCTGGCCTTCCACCATTCTTATCCATGATCTGCCCCAGATATTTTACATTCTCCATAAAAAACTCACATTTGCTTTCCTTGAGTTTAAATCCCAAATCCTGTATTCTTGAAACTACTGCATTTACATGTTCCACGTGTTCTGCTATACTTGTACTTCTCATGAGGATGTCATCCAGATACTGCTTGTCCAGCAAAAATCTAGACCACCCAACATCGAATCCATTACTTGTTGGAAAATGGCGGTGGGACCTTAATCCCAAAAAGGTAGTCTGTTAAATTTATACAGACCCCGATATGTGTTTATACACAAAAGTTTTTGACTGTTTTTTTTCTACCAGTTATTTGCAGATATGCATCATTGGGGTTATCTTCTTTTGAATACTGCCTCCATTTTTTTTGCAAATTTTCCTTCTTGCTGTTGGTAGAGGAGAAAAATTATAGGAAATGTTTCCTTAAGTTTCTTTATTAATTTTTGGGCTTCAGTGTTTAAACTTTCTACCTTGTAACAGAAGGAATTTATCGGTAGATCCCATAATTGGAATTCTGTTATCCAATTCGTACCAAGTAAGTTCGTGGTAGTTTCCATGACAAATAGTTTAGCTTTTCGCGTTTTTTTATTTAACGTGACGTTTATAACAAAATCCCCAATAAATTGCATTTTTTCTCCCATCACTGACCTCGTGATTTTCTTTGTCTTCATTAAAGTTGGTTTCTCCAACTTCTTCCATGTATGCAAATTTATGATAGATAGATCCGAACCAGTGTCAAGTTGCATTTTTATATTTTTATTACTTATTTCGACGGTAACAAATTTTCTGGTTATTCCATCTTTTACCTCATTGGACTTTCATTTTCATATTTTATTGTCTTTATTTTTTGACCTGCAATGCGTGCTTTTATGTCTCACCCTTTTACAGTTGAAATATTTTTTATTCCTAAAATCTCAATATCTGAACCAGTGTAGTTCACCACAAGCAAAACATGGCTTCAGGAGTTTTTGTTTATTTTTCTCTGGTATTTCACTTTTTGCTTGATAATCCACAATTTTAGAATTCTTTTTGGTAGACTGACTTTCTTCTTTGTAGCATATTTTCCTTAGATGCGAAACACCAGACTGTTCTATCTTTTTTGAATCTTTCTTTACGCTAACATATCTTGTGCAGTCTTCTGCCAATTTCTGTACTGTAATACTTGAATCACTTTCCAATTTTGCCAGTACTAATTTTCTCAGCTCTTCATCTCTTTCCGATACCAGCCCCTGAACAAACACCAAGCACTTAAAATTGTCTGCGCTTAATTCTGCCAGCTTGAATTCTTCACAATGCTTATTCACATTGGCTGCGTACGTTATATAGTCTTGTTTGTCATCTTTCATCAGATTCAAACATTTCTACCTCTTGTAGAACAGAGATGTCTTTTTACTAAATAATTCACTTAATATATTTACCGCCTCGGTAAATGTCAACTCGCTAGTTTTTTTCGGTAAAATGTAGTTTACCAATTTGTTATGCTCAGCAGTTCCTAATTTGCTTAAAAGAAGCCTAATGTTCTTTCCTTCAGACCACGAGTGGCAGTCCTCATTATACACATTCATATATTTTTTATAATACTCCTCAAAAGTTATCTCTTCATCTGGACTGTAAGTGAATATTTCAATTGAATTCCATAATGTATTCTCTGGGAAAGAATCATTTTGTAGATTTTTCTCTTTCCTCTTCTCAGTTATTTCCAGAATTTTGTTTTGAAACTCCCTATGTATCTGTTCCATTTTTTGTTGGAATTGCATTTGTCTATTGAAAGTTTCCTCCTGTTTCCATCTGGAATGTTTTTTGCTGCTCTAATATTGTCATTTGTTGTTCTGACTGGAACTTAAAGAATTCCTGGAATATACTTTTGCATTCCTCCATCTTCGCAAAGAGTTTACACAATGCCTAAATACTGTAGTGGGGAGGGGGTCTACGAATTTGCAATTCATGATCTATTTGAGCAAACTGTATTATCGGGGGAAAAAAAAAATTTCTTTTCTCAGTTGAGAATATGACAGATTTTTTTGTCACTAAGTTGACATCTTGGCTTGTGAAAAACTTTGCCAAGTTTTTTTTTTTTAAGTAAGAATCCGAGACTTTGTTGCCAAAGTTATTGTGGTGAGCGAATTTTTTCTTTCTCTGTATGAGTGCAAATTCTCATCGCCAAAGTTGTTGTGGAGTTATTTTGCAGTGGAGGCTTGTATTTGTACTAAATTGGTCCTAAATAGGTTCAACATACAAAACATTAGGAACTTGATATAATAGATATTACGCAGAGTAATCTTGTTGTGGTTGCAGACTACTTTCGTATTCGACTGTCAACTACTGTCGTCCGACATCGACCGACCCTCATTTCTCTTACTACTCTTACTTATATTAGGTGGGAGAGTCTGTTAACTATAGAATAGGTGTGTTTCACCATAACATACTTATAAACAGATCATGCTAAGACCCATTCCACTTGTTTATGCAAAGATGGCTGTCTAGATTTATTATAAATTGTCTCAGGAACTTTGAAGTGATAATCAAAATGTGATCCACCCAACACTGAGAACATATCCTCGTGGAAGGATGATGTGCATTGCTTATTTTTAATGAGATATTCTGAAATTGTAGAATTGTTTGAGAACTACAATAAAAAGCAGCTAAAATTAAAATGAAATAAATACTAGTCAAAAAATTTTAAAAAATAATTCACAATGCTTCATGTAAGAAATTATTTTAAAATTCTACATGAGAATAAACTTTTGACTATTTGGTTGTATAATTATGACAAAAAGAAATGAAAACAGCTTTTAAGAGACCAAGAAAACAAGTTCTATTATTTAACCAATTACATTTGAGCTTATATCACAAAACAAAGCAAATAAAAGACTAAATTTCATAAGTATATATTCATTTATTTGCAAAAAAGAATGACTAAAAATAAGTAAATAAATAAAATTATGAAATTAAATGGAAAATTAAATTTCAAACAAAATACTTTTTGGTTTGTCAGCCTGGAAAAAAAACATTTTTTTTTTACTGGATTGCTTT